GGGGCGGGGGCGAGCCCGGAGGGAGGAGGCGGGGGTGGCTGCGGAGCTGGGCTGCGAGGGTGATGACGAAGTGAAAATGGCGGATCTTTCGAAATCCTATCCCGGCCCTTGACATTCCAGAAGCAGTAGCTCAACAGCCTGAAGAGGCTCTGTCCGCCGCTGCCAGCAGCCCTCCAGCTGCCGATCGGCCGCTCCCCCTGCTAGCCAGACCCCCAAGGCGGGAAGCCCCCTCCCTGCCTGCCCGGGGCTGGAGCCGACCAGCCTGGAGGACCCGCGGCTGCGTCCCGAAGAGGGTGAGCGACGGGCGCATCGAGGCCTGGGCAGCCCGGATGCGCCGGGGAGCGGGGCCGGAGCCGGACAAGCGAGTCCTGCTCTGGATGCAGGTGCTCCGTCACTGAAGCGCCCTGGTTGCGCTGCTGGGAAAGGGGAAGGGATGTGGAGCTCTTGGGCCTAATTTTCTTCCCAAGGGCTGGCTGAGAGCTGTCCAGCTGTGCCAGGGTTAGTTAGTATCTGGGTCAGCCGGGAATCATGGGACCCGGGGGCCCCCGTTTTTCTGGAGGAATAGTGGCTAGGGCTTGTTGGCTGGTCTCCGTTGCCTAGGAAGTATTATTCATCCTTTGCTGTACAGGGTAGTGAAGAATATTTGTATATTAAGCTGCTTGTGGGGCACAAAAGGGGCTTAAAAACTAATTTCATAGCTGTTCAATCGCATTAATGGGTGTGTTTCAAAGTCATCTGTTTAATTAGCACTGGCATTGCTGGCGACAACAAAGAAAGCTTCACCTTATGTTCGGCTGTTCATATTTAAAATGTGGATTTTAAAAAAAATTTCCCCATTAATTTTTGAAAAGTGAAGAAAGCTCACTTGTAACAATTAATAAATGAACTTGCAATTTTTCCTAATAATTTTTCTTTTACATTTCCCCCCCTATTTAATAGGCTGTGGATCTCTAGGGTGATTTAGGACAGCTCCTGTTCCTGGCCAAAAAAAATAAATAAATACTGTAGATGAATGATAACTATTGCATATAATGCCTCTGGAGAAAAAACATTTTTATTTAACAGCTCAATCCTAAATTTCAACAAATTAATCTGACCTTGTTTAGTTTATTTTAGGCTAGAACCATTTTTATATGAATCTGTGTCTTTTCAGCTATTTGAACTTCATAACATCTATATTTTATAGATCTTATAATGTGATTAAATGTTATGGGGTGATTTTGTACCAGAAAATTCTTAAATATTGTAGGTTCATGTGATATATTAGAAACAAAGATGCCTGATCATGTAAACAAGGAATTCTTTATGTCTTCCTTTTCTACAGTTGCATTCAAAGGACCTTATGATATAATAATACAAATACATAAAGCACAATTAAATATAAGGCATTTTTGTATATAAGGCATAATATAATATATTTTATAAGTATAATATACAGTATAAGGCATTTCTACCAGTGTGGAAAAGAACTGTGCATGGTTCTGAATTCCAGGTACTCCAGTATTTGCTGGAGTGTTTCTTATCTCTTTCATTTAAAAAAAAAATGCTGTTTGGGAGAGGTATAGGAGAACTGTCTATATTTAAATAATGATATAAACCTTATATTGTAGGCTCTAAAATGGAAGCCAACATAGTCTGCGGATTACTTGCCTGTTTTGGATATATGTAATTTTGGGCTATTCTTAAGTAAAATACATCCAAATATCACTTTTACATTTTAAAAAACTATTCAACCAATATTCTATCTGTAATATACATAGATAAGCCTGAACATGAAGTCTCGAAACTTATCTCAATTAGAATAGATTTACAGATAATCCTTACTTAACGACAGTAATTGGGATTGGCAACTCTGTTGCTAAGTGACACAGTCTTAAAGTGCAATGTCACGTGACCATGCTGACTTATGACAGCAGTTGTGGCAGTTCCAGTTGCCATTAAGTGAATCCTGCATGGTCGTTAGGCATGATATCACATGATCGCCATTCGCGATTTCCTGCCAGCTTCCCTGTTGACTTTGCTTGTCGGAAGCCAGCAGTGAAGTTTGCAGATGGTGATCACATGACTGTGGGACACTGGGACCATTGTAATTGCAAGCCGGTTGCCAAGCTTCTGAATCATATGACTCTGGGGATGCTGCAGCGGTTGCAACTATGAGGACAGGTCGTAAGTCTCCTTGTTCAGCAGCATCGTAACTTTGAACAGTCGCTAAACGGGTAGTCAAATGAAGATTACTTGTACACAGTCAACAAGGCTTAAATAAATTGGGCAGTGTTGGACTTCTGGGTTTAGTGACCATGGTCTAGAGAACAGATTTCCTGATGTTTCACCAGGAACTGTGGCTGGCATCTTCAGAGGCAAAGTGGTCTGCAGTCCTGCTCAGTTGCTTGTGGTCTGCATAGTATAAACCCTGAAGCCCAACAGTGCCCAACAGATACCAGCCGTGAAAGCCTACACTTAAATAAATTGTTGTTG